TTCATACTCCAGTAATAATATCTGCAGAATAGGACACCGAGACTCAGGTTGGGTAACTTGGCCAAGACAGATGAGTCTTAATTCAAATCCAAGTCTTTCTCTCTTGTGCACCACACACCACCTCTTCAGCAACAGGAGCTCAAGGACTTGCTGAATTGAACAGACTCTGTCATTCCCTGCTTGGTCTCTCGGGCAGCCAGGGCTTCTCCATAAAGAATACAGAGTGCTAAATACTAACATGTAAACCTTGTATTTAATGTTTATCTTTTTTTAAAGTGAACAAAAGCAAGATATTTATACTTATATTTATACTCAGTAGCCATTTACTAAATACCTGGTTGGCATTAGGCCCGTCCTCACCCCATCAAATATACAACAGCAGAAATAAGACCTTCAGAGAACTATAACATGAGACAAGAGTGTATTTAGTGCCAGGAATGCGGGAGCTGCAAGGAGCTCTGAGAGTTCTGTCTATGGGCAGAGCACTCTGATGAGGAGAGGAAAGTCTTTAGAGTGAGCAGTTTGGCGAATGGGGTAGACTTTCAGTCAGTGGTATAACAACAGTGGGAAGGAAGGGGAAAGATGCCGGAGGTGGGCGGGGCTGTTTCCAATGAAGTGGATGTACCTGGGTCAGGAACTACCCCAAAGTGGGTGACCAGCGGTTCAAAGGGCCATCCAAGTTAGTGTCCATTTCCAAGGGGGTCGACTTGGTGAGTAGAATGTGGCAGTGTGAATTTCTAGGTGGTAACCGCAGATTCTTAGAGTTAAGACAGATGATGGGAGTTGGGGAGTACATTCCGGCCCCAGCAAATAAGGAAGCCCAGCTGGAGGGTGGTAGGGAAGGTCAGTTGTGAAGAGTTCATTACAGCACACAGAGGAATGGGCAGCAAAACCAGTTATAGCCCCATCCTCTGGTAGCGAAGGCTGCCTCGTGCACTGCTGCTTAGTTAAAATAGCCTCAGGAACAAGATAGAGCTAAGCCTGGAAGCTGAAAGTCCCCAGTTCCTAGACAGAAAAAGGGCTGGGAGTGACAGGGACTGAGTGGCAGAGTCAGTCTTAGGACACCACTGAACAGCCAGCCAGGTGCTCAACCACAGGTTCTATACTGGGGAATGGGCATGTCTCGGCAAATACCTATTTTCTATGCATGTCACTAGGGTCATTGGAAATTTTACATGGGAGCTTTACTAGCCCTTCTTTCCCCACTTCGGTTTTCTTAGCCCATCCAGCCATGCCCCAAACAACCTTCCTGATTATAAGTTATTCTAGTTGACAGGTGAAGATGGCTATGATTGTCTTCCCCCCTCGGTGCACCAACTTCACACTGCAGCAGTTACAGGAAAGATAGAAACATACTATTGTTAGGTCCGGAGCTGAAAGGGAGACACACGAAGCCTCAGGGGCAGCAAAATGCCGTTTATTTGAGCATCTGGGTGCAGTTGGGTGGAGGCCAAAAAGAGCATCCACCGTGAGGAAGGGGAAAGCATTGGGTTTTATAGAGGGTTTTTCCGGGGGGAGTGAGCAACTGGGCCAGAACAGCTGTTGTAATAAATGCTTTTTCAAATAACCAGTTTCTGGGACCCCTGCGTTGCTCTCATCCTGCAGAGATAAGGGAGGTGGGTAGCTTCGTCCTTATTGTGGGGGATAGGAATGCTGATATAGCTGCAGCTGTCTGGTCTGGAGTTAGACTTACAACCTCCAGACTCTCCAGACTCCTGTGGCTTTTGTTTCACAGGCTTTATGATCACTTATCTAAGTTTTCCATTAACCGCATTAAGTCCTATACTGTTCGGGTTCTCACCCTAAGCCAACCTAACAACTACGCACAAGCAAATTGCTGCTCCACTATAAAGCTTCCTGTCATGTACTGTCTGGTATCAGAAATGATTCTATGCACTGCTTAATATCTACTGGGGGTAGAGGGGAGTTTTCATTTAGCCAAAGGACTCTGAGGAAAACCATTGACTGGTTTGAAAAGATGCACAGAGGGTGGGTAAGAACCTCTCATTGCTCATGTTGTAATGCTGCCTCTTGTTGACTTTCAAGGCTTCCTGAGTCAGTACCCTCAGGCTCCAACCACTCCCTAGGGGAAAACAAGAATTTACCTGCACCTGTCTCTCTAAAATCTGATTCTGAATTGTCAGCTGTTTCAACAGCTAAACAGTACTACTTGAAACAATCAAGATACCTTCCAGGTAAGCAGAGAAAATAAATGGTTACTGCTAACTAGAGTATAGATAGGTCAGGTTCAAGTGTCCTGGAATCTCTGGAGAAAGGGCACCAGTGAAATAAAAAGTGTAATCTCAGTGCGCTTTGGTAGCTCAGCCTGTTTTCCAGATCTCCTATTTCTGCTCAAGAAATGCATAGTAGCTAAAAATCAGGATTATGAATATGCCTCCAAAAAATACCACCCTCCCCCCTCAAAGCTATGCAGTTAGTAAATGCTAATAAATGTTACTGAAGCAATTCTGCATTCCCATTACAACTTTTTATAAAATGTAGATTTTTAAATACTGTTTCCTAAACGATCTAATGTAAGTTTTTAAAAGATCATTCTGGCGTCTGGGCAGAGCATGCTAGGGGCTCAGGAGAGGCAGGGACACTGGTCAAGAGGCTGTCGCACATATCCAGATGGGAGAGGGTAGAGGCCTGTTCCAGAGTGGAAGCAGCAGAGATAGAAGTGGGTAGAATCCAGGCGGATCTTGGTCATGGACCTGGTAGAACTCGTGCACAGGCGAGCGGGGGTGATGGGAAAGAGGGGAAGGAATCAGTGTCAGCGTGTGGACGGTGGTGACCTGGACTGAGACGGGGAAGAGCAGGAGGGCACAGGAGAGTGGAGGTGGAGAATCGAGAGTGGAGTCTGGCGTGCCTGTTGAACATCTGAGCTGATGTAACAGACGCCTGGCTATATGGATCTGGAGCTTGGGAGAAAGCTCTAGACAGACAGTGGGGAGTTTATGATGTGCCTGCAAAGAGCACTTCTCCTCTAAATCCAATTAAAAAGAACATTTTTAGATTCAGTTTAATCTAAAAGGGAATCAATTTTTGCATCATCATGTGTCTGCACAGATATATCTTTAGTCCAGTGAGGAGGAGGTGATCTTTTTTCTGTTGGGTTTTTATGGGCTTGCTCATTTTTAGCTTTCTAAATGCAGTGAGCAGGCCACTGGGTTTACCTGCGGAAGATTTGCTTTTCACAGCTAAGTCTCCTGAAGCAAGCCATGGTCTTCATTTCCCAGAAGCTTGTTTGGGAAGGAGGGGTAAGGCAGATGAGCGGAAAGGTTGAGACTGGATTTATTAGCAGGAGATTGATACGTAACACCTTTTCCTGTGTACCTTATAGGCAGCCATAGAAATTTCAGTTCTAGGAATACAACTGGGACCCACTCCTGTTAGTAATCGGAGAGAGAAAAAACAATGAAACTGAGCGAAGGGTTTAGAAATGAATGGGATAGAAAACAGAAGGCATAGTGGGTGTACAGGTGTAGTCACAGATGTCAGGTCGAAATAAACTTACAGAGAGCAAATCAAGGCTTTAGGACTGCACTCCTGCGCCGATTTGTAAGGAGGAAGATACTAACGTATCTAAGTGAGGTTGAAGAGATTGGCATGAAGTTCTCAAGGACAGAGCAAAAACTTTATAACCCTGAATATTTGGAGATCTAAGTAGGTTAAATATTAAGATTTTTTTTGTTGTAAACAAATTATTTAGGCTCTGTGGCAGCAGGGTGAGACATGGGAAACAGGCCTGAAAAAACATAGGTCATGAAATTAGAAAGATTGTATACATCTGGATAGAGAAACAGAAGAAAGACATTTATGTGTCTCATTGGTAGCATATAGCAAATGAATTTACAAATACCTTATTAAAATAGTTGGGGGGGTGGGGATGAAGAAATATAGATAGGAGGAATAAGTTCTAGTATTTGATAGTACAGTTGGAAAATTGCAGTTAATAGTTTATTGTATATTTCAAAATAGCTAGAAGAGATGAATTGTAATGTTCCAAATACATAGAAAAGATAAATGTTTGAGGTGATGGATATCCCATTACCCTGAATTGATCATTGCACATTGTATACATGTGTCAGAATATCACATGTACTCCAAAAATATGTACAACTATGATATAGCAATTGTAAAAAAACCAAAAAAAAGGGAGGGGGGAGACCCAGATTCTTGTGAGCCAAGGGATGGGGATTAGAAAATTCATCATACAGTCGCATTTTTACTAATGTAAGATATGAACAGGGCATTTGCTAGTCTTTTTGTTTTCTTGGTCACTTTTTAAAAATTGGAAATAGTTTTGAGTTTTTGGAAATATACTCTTGACATTAAAGTCCCTGTTCTTTCTTCCTCATAAAGTCAAATTTTCACCACTGTAACCTCTCCTGCAGTTTGAAAAAGACTGTTCTATTTGTGACATTATGCTATGATTCTGGAAAGTGAGAAAAAAATTATTCTGAAGTTATTTTAAGTTTTTTATACAGGAAATTATCATATTGTTACAATCCTAGGGTGAGAAATTTGCCCACATATCTCTTTATGATCAGACTGTAGTAATGGCAGTCCTCACTTAAGGCGTTGCATCTTCGTTTGCCTCGAAGAGGAGCTTAGAGAAGGAACCTAACCAGTGTGAGATGCAGGGGGTTGCTAGCAGTGCTCCCGGCAGGTCTGTGCCTACACGGGTGTGAGTGCTTGCAGGAGAAGGAATGCGTAGTGCAGGGGAGGAGGGGGATGCCGAGGGACCTAAGTCCTTAGGAAGGTGAGAGGAGTTGGAATGAAGTCCATAAGGGTTGGCGCACACTTCCAAAAGGAGCAAAATACCCATGTTATAATCTCTAGATACCAGTAGGTTTGTAAATTTCGGTGTTGAAACCCTAAGAGAGTTCTAATATGACCGCAAGAGCAGGGAAATAAGAAAGTTTCCAGGACATAGATTCATGGGAGATACTGATCCCTGTTTGAAAAAAAAAAAAAATACTGAAATTTAGCAAATCACTATTTTTGTCTTGTAGAAGTGAGCCCTCTGCTGGTAGGAAAGACACTGTAGATTTTTGGCAAAGGGTAAATGGATCCAAAGCACCCGCATTCACAGTTCAGCTTCCTAACGTGGTTTTCAAGAATACATTTCAGGGTCTCTGAGCCCTGTCTGATCATTTCTTTTTTAACTAGAAAGATCTAACAAATTCTGCAAATTATTTGGGATCAGAGTATGGCTATAATTGACACTTTAAAGATGGACTCAAAATGACAAAGAATTGTTTGAAACCTAAATATGAGCCCTACTGTCTGTCACCCTATTGGCATTCTTTGTTTTGAAGATGACCCGTCTAGAGCTGAATGAGATTTGAAACTAGAATTGGGCTCAGTTCAGTCACTTGGACGAACATTTATCGAGCACTTATTGTGACCCAGCAATTGTGCAGAGAATAGAAACCTGAGTAAGAAGAAATCTTTGACATTTATTTGTGATCCATAGATATTTTTGTAATTGAGTATCTTTAGGAATAAAAATAATATCTGTGGGGGCCCTCTTTTTTACTCTGAAGCCAAGTATAAATGGTCTTATTAAGCATCAACCTTTAGGATTATGGGAGCTCTAGAAATGTACCATATAATTGCAGGGCAGCATGACATTATACTACAAGGACTGGCAGATCTGTGACACAGGCCTTCAGGGAAAGAGACGCAAGAGTCATAGTTATTGACCTGCGACTGACCAGCTGTGTACTTGGAGCAAGACTTTGAGATTCTGTTTTCTGTTACTTACAATGGGGCTACAGTCATCTATCAGCTCACCCTGTAAGCCTTAGGTACTTAATTATCACAAGGTAGTTGCAAATAGAGTATGCAATGGAAATGCTACCAGGTGCCCTCTGGTCTCACCCTCTGCTCCTAGAACCAGGACTCCAAGCATGAATGAATGCCACCACTGCTGGCTGGAAGAACAGCTTCCACAGAATGCTTCTCTCTTCCCATTTAGCTCTTACCATCTTTCCTTCCACCCTGTTTATTCAACGTCCTGTGTCATTTCTCTCTTAGCCTCTTCTACTGCATTTTAAATTTCTTACCACCATATACAAAGTCTTGCATGATCTGATCCTCCTCCCCCATCCAGCTTCATTTTGTACCACTCCTTGTTCTTGCTGCATCTGTGCTGACCACCTCTGAGGGCTTCCCCATCTCAGGTCCTCTGCCTAAACTGTTGACTCTCCCAGGAACACACCTCCCCAGCCCCTAACCATGATTCACATTTCAGCTTAAAATTGCTTTTTTGAGAGGAAGACTGGCTGAGTTACTTCTGTTACTTGCCCGTTTAGCACCAGATTCTTCCAGTTTGCACACTGCTAATTATTTACTTAATTAATTATAAATGTCTCCCTTCGCATTAGATTATAAGAGACAAAAGGATAGGAACTGCTCTATTTTGTTTACCACTTTTTGTCCAATGCCACACACACTGGCACATAGAAGGTGCTCAGTAAATATTTGCTAACTGACTTCTTGAGCAATTATCCTCATATATTGCTATATATCATTATCAAATTATATTAATTTCTACTTCTTCCTAACAGTGTTTGTTATATAGAAGGTACCCAATAAAAGCTTGTAAACTAATAAATAATCTTAAATTCCAGGATGTATCTATTTCCAACAAAATTGGAATCTTTACTTAAAAAGACCTTGAATTACACCAATTATCTTCAAGAATGTATACATTTACATTTAAATAAAGGAATATTGCCAAGGGCAACTGGATTAACAAAATAACTTAAATATTCAGGGCCCATTCTTTATTGACCTATATTTATGAAAAGTGTGTTCGCTTAAAGAGATTTTTAATATTTTCCCCCCTACATTGCACTTTCTTTTTGGGTGAAGATGTTTTTAATGTGAGTAATTGCCACCTAGTACATCTTCTTTATTGTCAGGTAATTGTCTATTATAGTTCTATTTGTAGGTGTTTTATTAGGGAGTTATATGCTATAAGAAAGGGAACTTACTTGCCTGATGGAGTGTTTCCTTGGAGAAGCGACAATGGGTAACTTGAGGCTCAGTCCTCCGGGTTTCAAAGTAAGGGATATTATTATATAGCTCATAAATGAAAAACCTTTCTAAGGAATTCAGCTTGTGAAAAACAAAAGCTCATACTGCCTAGAAATAGTTCTAACTTCCTAAATTAATGGAGTCTTCAGTTTAGGGTTAGGTATAGTATAGATTTCTATACTAACTAAAGAAAACACTGTGTGTAGGACCTAAAGACGTAGACTGTGTGACGTCTTTAGCATCTCACAAGTTCAGTCAAATTTAATTGTCAGTAAAAAGAAGACAAACTCAGGAAGTTTTCAACTCTCTTAAAAACAAGTTAAAAACAACCTCCTTGACCACACTAGTACCAAAGCCCAAGGCTGACTCAACATTTCACAGATGTCAGAAAATCACAAATAATTTAAACTGTCCTCTTTTCCAAGTACATTTCCAACACCTTCTCTCTGGTTCACAAGTGATATACTATTTAGATTTTACTATGTCTAATATACAAGTAAGCATTACAGATGGATCTGTAATACATCTATTTTAGAACTTCTCAGGTTTGCCTGAGTTCTTGTTTGTGTGTCTGTTTTTCCCACCTCACTAAGAGTCTGGCCCAGAGCATACATTCAAAACAAGTGAGTGACGTGGAAATGTCATGTTTCTGAAAAAAAAATTTTGTGCCACTTCAATTTTTTACGAGACATTTAGCAAGAACATCAAATTTTTATGATTATGTGTATTATAGAAAGTATCTTATGTTTATAAAGTACACTGTGAGTATTCCAGGTGGTTGTGTTGAGGGCTTAGGATCATGTTAGGGTTCATCAAAAAGCAAGTATTTGCTACATTTTAACCTAAATTTATTTCCATTCTCCTATCCAAGGTATTTCTAGTCTTTGTTTGAATGTATTATATATTTTCCCTTCAAGTTTATGATCACATTCTAACCTTTGAAATGACTGCTTTGTTCTTCTAAGGTGTAAATCCCAAGAACGTGTCCTCGATAGCCAGTGGAAAGGAGATAAACCCACACACTTGGAGTACTCAGTTATTTCCTAAGTCACTGGGGCCCACTGGGGCAGAACTTGCTTTCAAAAGGAGTAATGCAGGTAATGCAAGAATACATTTAAAATATAAATTTCCATTGTTTTCCTTTACCGATGTTTAGTTTTAAATATATTGCAGCTACCTTTTTCCAACCCAGATATGTGTAACCTGAAGGGGACGCACAAAGGTTTTCTAGCTACTACTCGAGCACAGATAGTTTTAAGGGAATCATTTTCCAGATCCTCACCTTCCGTCTGGGTCTTTCCCACATGGATCTGCCTTAGCAAGGCGTCTCTTTTCTACCTTTTTATTGTCACTGGCTACTGTGGTGTGTTTCCTGTTTCCCCAAAATGTAAAAATATCTGGGGTGCTAATCAAATGGAAAATCTGATATGTTGATATCACTGTTGAGAAAGCAACTTTGATGACTGAGAACAAATCCTTTTAAGCTGGTTTTCGGGTGTTAGTTTTTAGAAAATTGAAGGAGGATCTAACTGAGTTTTTAGCTGACAGGTAATTAAAAATCGTTTTTTATGGGATCACTCTATGACTTTTGGTCTGTAACTTTGAGGAGAGTTCGAAGAATGGAGTGGCACAGCTGTCGCAAAGCCCCTTTCATTCCCAACTATTTCCCTGTATTAACAAGGTTTCTCAGTGTTTCTATCTCCAAAAATTAAGAAAAAAAGAGAAAAGAAATAGCACTGATACTCAAACTTGTGTGATTATAGCAACAATTATTCATTTGTTGATAACGTGAACTGCTTGAAAAAGTCCCATCTTTCTCATTAAGAGATGCATTTCCAAAAAAACTTACTTTTCATGTTTAGTAATCAGAATATATAATATTTATCTTTTTGATTATATATAATGAACCATTGTAATTATAACTAAATGCAGAAAAAAGTATTTTAATATACTTAGGATTATAAGAAATTTAAATGTTTTTCAATTTATACACATTTTTGACTGTTCAATTTAAAGACTTTTAAGCCTAAGGTTATATTTGGATAAAATTTGGAAGCTGAATATGAATAAAAATATAATTTTAAGGGGAAAAGGAATTAATGTGAAATTTTCCAACGTCCAAAAGTAACTCGTTCATGTATTTTTACGTCAGTATCGGAGGGCATAAAGTCACTATGATATTTAGATTCCATTGGCTGTGTTTAAAGGAGAAATGTGATAATTTTATTTTTAAGATGTCTATAATCTGCTGGGCGCGGTGGCTCACGCCTGTAATCCTAGCTGTCTGGGAGGCCGAGGCGGGCGGATTGTTTGAGCTCAGGAGTTCGAGACCAGCCTGAGCAAGAGTGAGACCCCGCCTCTACTAAAATTAGAAAGAAATTAATCGGCCAACTAAAAATATATAGAAAAAATTAGCCGGGCATGGTGGCGCATGCCTGTAGTCCCAGCTACTCGGGAGACTGGGGCAGTAGGATCACTTGAGCCAGGAGTTTGAGGTTGCTGTGAGCTAGGCTGACGCCACGGCACTCACTCTAGCCAGGGCAACACAGTGAGACTCTGTCTCAAAAAAAAAAAAAAAAAAAGATGTCTATAATCACAATATGCCAGAAATGACATCCTTTGCAACTGTTAAAAGTTTATGATTAAAAATTTTAGATATCAAATTAAGAGTCTGTGAAGAGGTACAGAGTTTTTTTTAAAAAATGTTGGTGGTATCGGATCAAAAAGTTTGATGATTGCTGTGACAGTGAGTGAGCAGTCCAGTGAGGTATTCTGATGTGACATTAACACACTTGGACTTTTCACAAGTTTTCCAGGTTTTTTAAAGACTCAGCTTATCCATTTAATGGTGCTGAGGTGACTCATATGCTATAGCACTGTAATTTACTTATCTTTTCCTTAGATATTTAAAAGTAATATTCACTGAATCAACCAGTTATAAAATCCCTTTAAAGGGCAGCAGGACAACTTTGAGTCTCGAGGGAATATACAGTTGGCATCAGATGAAAGCTGTGACCATACGTGGGCACATTTTCTCATTTTAAGAGTTCTTTCTAGATCTTTTCATTAATCATCTAATCCCTTTTTCCCTCTGCTTTTCCTAAAATATTCTCCTTACTATTCATTCTTTCCATCTGCCTTCTCTTTAGAAGAAAGCATTATTAAACCAATCGAAAAACTATCATGCAATGAAAGTTTTGCTGAAAAATTAGAGGACCCACAAGGTAATTTCTGGGCATTAAATATGAGTACAACTTGTTCTTTGAATCTCTTGTCAAATTTTCCTCTCAACATTTGCCCCTGATCCTGACATAAAAGGCCAGGGTGACCTGCTTTTAGAAGTCAGCTCAGGACTAGGAGAAAGGAAAGCATTCCATTTCATCAAGAACATCGTCCGTCAGTAGTTGGGACTCTTAAGAATGATTTGCTCTCAAAAAGCTATATGCTCGTCTTCTTAAGTTAATTATGGCAATTTATAGAAGAAATCAAGCAAATAATTCTGAACAAGAATTAAAAGAAAAATTTTTCTAATTTTGTGATCAATATGCCTGGAATTTTTTTTTAAGTTCTGAAACTCATTTCTTAACCTTTAACAATCATTTAAAAGGAAAAGGTTAACTGGGTTAATAGAGATGGTGGATTTCTTAGGGGTTCTAGGGACTTGGTGTCATTGGTTTCGACAGTGCTAACCACTAGCACCAACCTAAAAATTTACAGCTCACAAGGTGCTTCAAGATATGCCAAAATAATTTAAAAAGATTTAATTTTTTATTCATTTGTTTTCAGCACCTTCTTTTTCCGGTAAGAAGCAGCATCGCATGACTGATCAATGCATGGCTTTTAAAGTCTGACATATCCCCATTTTGTCATTCACTAGCTTTTGTGGTTTGGGACAAGTTATTTCAGCTAGTTTTACCATTTATACAGTGGAGAAAATAATACTTATGTATTATTATGTAAGCATACCTAAGATTTTTGTCACACACTGAGCATTTAATACGTGTTTGCTCTGATGACGAGGATGAGAGCAAGAGCCGTGATCTGAAGCTGCTACTGAACGTGATCGCTGCTTTGAACATCCCCTCAAAAAGTCTTCTGAAGTAAAGAACTGGTTAGCGATTCTGAAGGAGTTGCTGAGGGGAGAAGGGTCAAATTCGGCAGCTGTACCTAGGCAAAATTCAGGAGGGCTGAAAATTGTCTAGACTGATAGCACGTGCTTACTGTTTAAAATCCTTTAGGGCCCCGTAAGTAATATTGCTCTTTGACATCTGTTGTTTCGAGAGCAAACACTTGTGCCTAAGCCCCATGAGAAACGTCAGGGACACAGAGCTCCAAACATGTGAACAAATAACACTATGGAAAAAACACTGTAGTTGTAGCTGCCAACTGAACAGTTCTTTGAAACCATCAGGGCGATCAGATCCCATTTAGCCTTCTAGCTGACAAGCCTGTCCCCTTTCCTGCATAGCTGGCTTCTTATCACCTACGGCTTCCGGTTTGCTCCTAAACTCCCTGTGGTTTGTCCTCAGCCTGCCTCATGCCACTGAAGCAGCTTCTGCTAGATCCTGGGGCAGTGCTGATCCATCGGCCTCCCTCCTGTGTGCCCGTCCTGTGTTCCTCACACTCTGGATCGCTTCTGCTCCTCCGCCATCCGCTGTTCTCTTCTCTCTGCTCCACAGGGTCCCTTTCTTTCCCTTCCCTTAGTGAGGGGCTTCTTGAGGTCTATTCCTGCTCTTTGCACCTTCTGAACTGCTCCTCCAAGCACAGCTCCATAACCTCCGCATCCCGGGCGTTACGATCTCCTAGCCTGCCTACGGCGCTCCCCACGACCGGAATATCCTCTGGGCACCAAGTCTTTCCAGAAACCCGATTCTCCTCTTGCTGTTCTTAGACAACCCACCCAGTCACCTAAGCTACAAACTTAGGGGTTCATGTTCCCCTCTTTCTCTGCTCAGTTCTCTCCTTCCCCATCCCCCTGTGACGGCCTCAGTTCAGGCCTCAGCCTCTCATTTCAGCCAAAGTGGTGACCTCCTCACTGGTCTCCTGCCTCAGATTTTCCCTCTTCAACCCATCCCCGTGCTGCCCCCAGACTGATCACTCACTAATAGTGATGATGATGGTGACAATGACAATGATCACTCACTAATAGTGATGATGATGGTGACAATGACAATGATGATAGCTGACATTTAGAATGCCAGATCGTATGCCAAGTGTTCTGCATAGTCTTATTCAGTCCATACAACAACCCTATGAGAACACTTATAATAAAAACGAAGAAAGACACAGAGAGCCCTTCAGGGATGGGAGCTTTGTGGCAGGAAACATACCCCGTGTTAAGAACTGGGGTCACAAAAACGCCTGGTGTTCAGGGTGAGATGAACACACCTAGGCCTTGTGTTCAGATCCTAGCTCAGTTCCTTACGACTCGTGAGAACTGAGGCAAGTTACTTAACTTCAAAGAGCCACACGATGTGGATAGTGATATGCATCTGCCTGTAATCCCAGCACTCTGGGAACCTGAGGTGGGCGGATCATTTGAGCTCAGGAGTTCGAGACCAGCCTGAGCAAGAGTGAGACCCCGTCTCTACTAAAAATAGAAAGAAATTAATCGGACAACTAAAAATATATAGAAAAAAATTAGCCGGGCATGGTGGCTCATGCCTGTAGTCCCAGCTACTTGGGAGGCTGAGGCAGGAGGATCGCTTGAGCCCAGGAGTTTGAGGTTGCTGTGAGCTAGGCTGACGCCACGGCACTCGAGCCCAGGAAACACAGTGAGAGTCTGTCTCAAAAAAAAAAAAAAAAAAATTAAATAATATGCATCTAAGAGGGTTGTTCTGTGGATGGAATAACAATATCTGTAACAAGTGTAGCACAGTGCCTAGAACATAGTAGATGCTCAAAAAATAGTATTTAGAAGTAATAGAGGTAGTATTCAGTTATTCTATGGCGCCTTAAAATATTCACATTCTGACTATGAAACTTTATGATATGTCACTAGGAAATCTTGGAAGTTACGCTACTTATAATCAGTCAGGATATGTTCCTTCCTTTCTTAAAAAACAAGTGGGGTCAGCTGGCCAGAGGATCCACTTAGCACCTCTCGGTGCAGCAGCTTCAGGTAAGAACAGCTTCAGATTGTCTTTGGGATTTCTGAGTGGAGAGGAGCTTTTTTCATTTTTAAGTTTGTACATTCACTTTTCCCAAGTGAAGACTCTTAAATTAGTCTCATCTACTGTGTAGATGGCAAAATGTCCTGTTTTTCTTCCAGAAATGTGGTTCCAGAGTCTAATAGTTATAAGAAGAGCTACCTCTCATTATGTGGTTGTTCTCTGCCAGGCACGATGTAAAAGGCTCGATGGGATGTGGCATTTAACCCTCACAGCCACCTGACGATGTAGCTAGATTTGTCCTTTATGGATGACGAAACCGACGTTAAGTAACGTACCTAAAGGTCACACAGCTGCTGGAGCCAGGGTAGAAACTCGGTTAGTCCACTTGCAGTGAGTGTGCCGTACTACACAGCGAGATGTGAGAAGATGCATTTTTCAGAGCTTTTGGCCCAGCCCCTGGCCCAGAGTGAAAGCCGAATAAATGTTGACCCTCTTGTAAGTTAACATGTGGTTTCTCTGTGGTTCCAATTCAGAGAATAGAAATTAACGGTGGCAGAGCGTTCACACCCTGCCGTTTGCTTTGCAATAGTATCGGGTGGTGAAAGGGTTTATCCCTCCACCGTCCGCCCTTATGGTGCAGCTGTGACATCCGTGTGCAGGGTACACACTTGAATCGAGGGTGATGATGCTGCATGTACTAGAGCCTACCAGGTTTGACTGTGAATGTTCTCTATGTTATTTTAATCTGAAACAGATATCCTACTGAGGGACGAAAAATAAACATAAAGGCAGATAATCCGAAGTTTGGTAAGACTCCTAATTGTAGTTTAATTTAAAAGTTGACTCTGAAAGTATTTGCACAGCCTACCCTAGCCAGGATCTGATACTAAAACTCCCGATTAGAGTTGCCAGTCTTTACCGTTCATGCTATTGGAGCTAAGAAGGGAAAAAAGGACTGGATTTCTTTAATTTTTTATTTCTTACCACAGTAAAACTGCTGAAAGCAAACAGTATACAGTTACCTTATCTGTGAAAAGGACTGCTTCATTCTCTCTCTGCTGAAACAAAAATATAAATAAACATTTTATGTACAGGAGTGGTTTTTATAAAGCCTCAGATATTTTAAGCCAGTCTTACAATGACTCATTTGCCATGACTTGGCAATTTTTAATACGAAAACAGAAAATAATGTTTCAGATTATTTTGTTATCTGGGTACCTACTTGCTCTTAGTAATTGAGAGTGGGTCTTATTAAAAATATTTTTGTAAGATATTGAAGACCTTTATATGTTAATTATTCTGTTGGATTAGCATGCATATTCCTGTTTTCATTTTTTTAAGTAAATGCTATCTCATAACTTTTCCTCTCTTTATTTACTCTGCTTGTCAGATTTTCCTACAGACCGTGATAGGAGGAGAGGTAAAAAAAAAATAGTAGTAAATATTAATCACTCTCAAGTGGTCAAAGCAAATCCTTAGGAAAACACGGTTCTATAAGAGATATGTCTTCCAGTCCTCCCACTTGGGTGACAGTTTCCCACAAAAAATTAAAACCAAGTCATTACCGTATTTACTCAACTATCTTCCCCTCCTGATAGTCTTTGGTTTTCTTTCTCACTCCCGTTTTGAGAAGGAAAATCAAATTAATGTCTTCCTCCCTCCTCGTGTAGTCTCTCCTCCCAAACCTCCTAATATCTCCACATCCCCAGCTTTGAAAGTTATAACAAGGACTTCAAGGAGTGACTTCTATGTATAGCGCACCCTTCAGATGTGCGGGGCCCTGTTCCAAGCACTGGGTGTACATTAGCTCCTGTAATCCTCCCAGGGCTCCGTTATAGATCATCTCCATCTGACAGAAGTTTTTATCTTGCAAAAAGTGACATCATAATGAAATAGATTAAATCCATAGCTAGAGGCAAACACCTTCCTTTAGCACACATTTTCTACAAGAATTAAATGCCCTTGATAGGACAAATGCAGTTTTTAAAATAAACACACAGCAAGCATTGCAGAGCTCACTGCTCTGCTCTTGGGGGGCAAGGTGTGGGGTGGTCCCACTAAGGCACAAAAGCATTTCTTGCCCTGCCACGAGATCTGGGCTCCTTTGTCAGCCATTAGGTTCTTCACCACGGTGCTTGTGTCCTAAAACCCTATTATTTCTGGGAAAGGACTCCTAAATCTCAGCACTACCACCTTCTTCGCAAAATGATTCCCTCTTCAGAGAAGTTTTACAGAACGCTGGCCTGGACACAGTTCCATTTAAATGTGTTTAGGGCTTGACTGAAACTATGTCATGACCTAAAAAAAAGCTTCTCTTTTTGTTACTCCCCAGACCCCTCACTTCTTACCCTAAGAGCCTCACCATTAGCTTAAGGCTGTGTTCCCTTTCTCCTTCTCCGAATTAGCCAGGCTTTCTTCCTCTCTCTCTGCCCCTCCACTCCCCTCACACGCTCTCTCCCCAGCCCATGGCACCATGTTGATGGGTGGCCCTCCTGTGTGAGCTCCCTAATTTAATAGATGATGCCTGTTTATATTCCAGTGGCTTCCTGGAAAACATGGTGCCTTAACTGGCCTTTCTAGACACCTCGTCCCTGCCTTTGTTAGATAACTTTGTAGTGGTCTTGACTTTGAGAATTTTAATCCCAGTAAGACTGGGATGAAATGACCCGTGAAACCGCAGAGGGGACAGCTCTTGTCTGTCCTGCCCCAACCAAACTAAGCAGCAGCCAGGCGTTGTCTTCCCCACGGCGTTTGCACGTAATGCCTTGTTTGCTTAAGACTGAGGTTAGCAGCATATCAGGACCACGAGCTCACATAATTCCTTCCTACCTCCCAGTTTTACAGTGAAAGTATAAGAAAAACTGGGGAAACCATGCCAGCAAACATGGCATAGCTGAGCTAAAGGTACAAAACAGATTCATTTCAGTATTGCCCCTTAGAGTTTAATCCAAGAATGGCAGCTACTACACAGTGTGAAAAGATATTTAAATCCCAAATGGAAAAATCCAACATCCCTCCTCAGATAGAAAACATGTGATACCAACCTCTCAATTTGGTGTGAGGACGGCACGAGGGAGGGACGGAAGAAGACGTCAAAGTTCTCTGTGAAATGATTTAGTGCTTTGTCATTTGCGATGTTTAAGCAATTTTAGCTTATAAATTGTTCAGATAACAAATGTTTAACAAATTTTAAAATTTTCACCAATTTTTAAGCAGTCAAATGTTATGACTAAAACAAGATTTGTGATTAAAGGTTTGGGATCCTAGAAATGGGTTACTGTTTTAGGGAGTTGTGTATCACCCATAATTTTCCCAGTGAAAAATGAAGTTTCTTGATTCTAAAAACCACATTTTCACTTTTAAAAAGAAATCTATTGTAGGACCCCATATGTAAAGCTCCATGAAGCCAGAGTTTTATAGCTTCACAATTCCAAATACATTGTTTAGATGTAACCACAGTGTGATATTACAAAGTCACGAACACTGTGGGTGTTGCCCATTGAATCTGAACCAAGAATTTCTCTTAGTCATCTTACTTGGTGTTCCTATCCGAATGTGAAATACTGGAAGTATCAGCAGTGTCAGAACTACAAACCGGAAATACTGGCTCTTAAGCTACTGAAAATTCTAGTAGGTGTCAACATAATACTACACTAGAATTTTGGGGACTTAAAATTTTAAAGATCTCAGACACTATTGAATTAATCTTCTAAAGATAAATTCAAATTTTACCCGTAAAATGAGAGGATGAATTGCTTTATTTTGAATTTGATAATAAAAAATAATAAAATCCTACTATCTGGTTCTGATTTCTTTCAGAATATACCTGGAACACAAAAGCTGGTCGGGGGCAGTTTTCAGGACCTACTTACAATCCTACAGCAAAAAACCTAAATACCATGAACCGCGTACAGCAGGTTCCCTCAGTGCATGGGAGGACAGACTGGGTGGCCAAGTATGGCGGCCACCGGTAGGAGTCTCTGTTGCGAAGCAGTCTCGCAGCGTTGCTCCACAGAGCATGTGCAAGCTCACTGGCCCTGGGAAATGTCTGCAGATGTCTATTTCTACTGAGTTCTGGAAGAAATATGTAATAGTGGGTACTTCGAACAGCAAAAATCATCTCCTGTTTTCTTTCTTTCTGAGAAATGAAATGCGTTTTCTTGGCATTGGTCACAGTGCTGATATATGAGTAGGACTTTACAAAGTATTGAATAAACTATTTGCCAAAGTATCAGGTATTTGATCTATAAATTAATAGATAGTAAGCACAGAAGAAACTTTTAAAAAAAATGTCTCCAGAAAGTGTTTAGAGTGTCATAGTTTTCATTTGTTGTATACTTGCCTAAATGATTTAACATTTCATCACTTTGCAGTGGTTAGCCTGAGAGGTTTGTTTTTGTTGTGTTTTTTCATGGCAATTAGGCCGACCTCTGTGGGCTGTCTGCTGTGGTTCCTACTTGGCAAAGGCTCTGCTCTACCACTTCGGCAATGACAGAAAGATTGCAATTATCATTTGTTTGTCTACTTTGAAGCTGTGGGAGCAATGGTAATTCCAATCTTGAGCTGGATGTCTTTCTTAGAAATGAATTTATCTTTAACATAGAGAATATCCAAATTATGCCACCTGATTTTAGTGGAAAAAGAGTCTGTCTGTTCTTGTCCAACACAACTGCACTGAATTCATGGTGACTATCAAACCCAAAGGCTTGATGGCGTCCATATTAACCAAGTCAGGGTTTTCTTGTCTTCACATCAAGTTGGTTCTTAAAACTGCATTTAATGTTTGTTTATCAGATTTTCAAAATATGTTGTTTGTGTGTTCCTAAAGGACACAAAGATGAAACGTGCCAGCTCGTCCCTCCAAGCCAACTCATGCTGCTGCAGATCACTGACCTTCACATTTGCTATAGAGCAAATGCGTTCAGCTGCTATAGCGGTGGTTTCACATAGTACATTTATTTTTTTCCTTAGTTTTATTTCTAAATTGGTATTTTAAATAGATGTTTTGAACTCAGGACTATTCTATTTAAACCTGCCACTTTATGGACTGGATATTAGTACTGTCTATTCTTTTTAAAGAATAGTAATGTCATCAACTACTGGGATTTTATGTATTCCATGACTTTGTAACAAATGCTAATGTAATTGGTGGCATCATCTTGTGGACATTATCTAAAGGCAATTTATAAAATAATAATTATATGGTATTTTTGTATAGAAGATTCAGCTATTCAGATTTCAGATGTTGAAAAATGTTAAAATCTAAAGAGTATTTATCCTAGTGGTAATAGTTATACGTTTTTGTACAGTTTAATGTCTCAAACCTAAAAACGTCTTTTGTGTTGCTGGGAAACGTTTAAACTCTGAATAGATATTAAAGTAAATCCAGTTAACTAGTGTGTTTTCTTTACTTTTTTAAACTTTATACCCTGAAGTCTATTTTTTATTGTTGTTTTAATTAGTAGACTTTTAAAAAAGTAGTTTTAGGCTTATGGAAATATTGATCAGAAAGTACAAAGACTTTCCTTACACCCCTTCATCTCTCCCTCCCCAATTTTCCCTATTATTAACATCTTGCATTAGTGTGGTACATTTGTTAAAACTGTTGAACCAATAATATTTAGTAAAATATTAAGTCCATATTTTACATTAGGGTTCACTCTTTGTGTTATACATTCTATGGGTTTTGACAAAATATATGACGTATCCACCATGGTGGTATCATAAGAAGTTTCACTGCCCTGAGAATCCTCTGTGCTCCCCCTATTCACCCCTCCTTCCCTTAACCCTTGGCAACTACTCATCTTTTTACTATCTTCATAGTTACTCTTTTTGCAGGATGTCATATAGTTGGAATCACATGCAGACTTCTCAGACTGGCTTCTTTTACTCAGCAATATGCATTTAAAGTTCCTCCATGTCTTGTCTTGGCTTGTTAGTTCATTTCTGTTTATTGCTGAATGGTATTTCATTGTATGGCTATTCCGCAGTTTGTCTTTCCATTCACTTACAGAAGAAAGGACATCTTGATTCCTTCCAAGTTTGGGCAATTATGAGTAAAGCTGTTGTAAACATTTATGTGCATGTTTTTGCATGGCCATCAATTTTCACCTCATTTGGAGAAATACCAAGGAGCATGATTGCTGGATTTTATGGTAAGGGTATATTTAGTTTTGTGAGAAACTGCCCTACTGTCCTCCAAAGTGGCGTCCATTTCGCATTCCCCCAGCAATGAATGAGAGATCCAGTTGCTCCACTTCCTCGCCAGTGTTTGGTGTTGCCAATGTTTTGGATTTTGGTCACTCTAATAGGTGTGTAGTGGTATCTCACTGTTTTAATTTGCAACTCTCTGATGATATGTTGAGCATTTTTTCATATGCTTATTTGCCATCTGTATATCTTTTTTAGTGAGGTGTCTGTTCGGATCTTTTGCCCATTTTTTAATTGTTCATTTTCTGATTGTTGAGTTTTAAGAGTTCTTTGTTTATTCTGGATAACAGTCTTTTATCAGGTATGTCATTTGCAAATATTTTCTCCCAGTTTGTGGCTTGTCTTTTTATTCTCCTAACAGTGTGCTTCAAAGAGCAGAAGTTTTTAGTTTTAATGAAGTCTAACTTAACAGTTTTTTCTTTCACGAATAGTGCTTTTGATATTGTACATAAAAAAATTATCACCAAATCTAAGGTCACCTATGATCTGATTTTCTCCTGTGGCATCTTCTAGGGGTTCTATAATAAGTTTTGCATTTTACATTCACATTTGTGATCCATTTTAAGTTAGTTTTTGTGAAAGGTAAGTTCTGTGTCTTGATTTTTTTTTTTTCATGTCAATGTCCAGTTGTTCCAGCACCGTTTGTCGAAGACTTTATCCATTGAATTGCCTTTGCTTCTTTGTTGAAAGATGACTGTATTTAGGTGGGTCCATTTCTGGGTCCTCTATTCCACTGATCTTGTTGTCCCTTTTTTCACTAATACCACACTGTCTTGTTTATTGTAGCTTTATAAAAGTTTTGAAGTTGGGTACTGTCAGTCCACTAATTTGTTTCTTTCCTTCAATGTTGTGTTGACTATTCTGGGCATTTTACCTCTCCATAAAAACTGTAAAATCAATTTGTCGATATCCACAAAATAACTTACTTGGATTTTGATTGGGATTACATTGAATCTAGATCAAGCTGGGGAGAACTGGGGAGAACTGACATCTTGACAATACTGTGTCTTTCTATCTGTGAATGTAGAATATCTCCCTATTTATTTAGATGGTTTTGTTTGTTTTGTTTTTTGAGACAAAAGCATAGCTCTGTTGCCCCAGGTAGAGTGCAGTGGTGCAGTGTTTAAGGTTCATGCAACCTTAAACTCCTGGGCTCAAGCGATCCTCCTGCCTCAGCCTCCCAAGTAGCTGGGACTAAAGGCATGTGCTATGATGCCCGACTAATTTTTTCTGTTTTTAGTAGACAGGGTCTCACTCTTGCTCACGCTTGTTTCAAACTCCTGAGTTGAAGCAATCCTCTTGCCTCAGCTTCCCAGAGCACTAGGATTACAGGCTTGAGCCACCACACCCGGCCAGTATTGTATTTTTAATTTCTAATTTCAGTTGTTCATTGCTGGTATATAAAAAAGCAATTTACTTTTGTATATTAACCTTATATCCTAATACCTGCTATAATCACTTACTAGTTCAGGAGTTTCTTTGTTGATTCTTTCAGATTTTCTAATCATTTCATCTGCAAGCAAAACGTTTTATTTCTTCCTTCCTAATCAGTACAGTATACCTTTTACTTCCTTTTATTGTCTTTCTGCATTAGCTATGACTTCCAGTATAATGAATAGAAATGGTGAGAATGCATATCCTTACCTTGTGTCTGATTTTAGTGGGGAAAATATTTAGTTTCTCCCCATTACGTACGATGTTAGCTGTAGGTTTTTTATAGATGTGTTATCAAATTGAGAAAGTTCCCCTCTATTGCTAATTTGCTGGGTGTTTTGATTTTTGTCAAATTCTTTTTCTGCACCTATTGATGTGATGTGATTTTTCTTCTTCAGCCTGTTGATGTGATGGTTACATTAACTGATTTTCAAATGTTGAACCAGCTTTGCATACCTGGGATAAATCCCACTTTGTTGTGGGGTATGATTCTTTTTATACATTACTGGATTTGGTTTGCTAATATTTTGTCGAGGATTTTTCATCTGTGTTCGTGTGTGCGTGCAGGCGCATTGAGAGAAAGAAGGGAGAGAGAGGATGTGCCCGATGTTAACAATTGGTGAGTTGGTGAAACTAGGTTAACGGCATATGGGTGCTCATGAATAACACCGCAACTTTTCTATAGATTTGAAAGTTTTCAAATTAAAATGTTGAAACAATAACAAATATGTCAAGCAAGGATTTATCATAAACACAGAAAGAAACTGATATACTCATGATCAGAGTGGGAGATTTTTCTCAGGAAACAGATCTAGAGACCTAAAATAAGTAAATGAATAGCTAATAACAGTAAACTAACTTTATCAAATATGTAGCACGTAGAACTTTAACCAATAAGGAAAATCTTCACATTCCTCTCAAACACATGTAACATTCCAAAAAATTTAACCCTGTATTAGGCCACAAAGAAAATCTCAAACTCAAATGTAGAAACGTGTAGGCTGTATTCTCTTCCCACAGTGTAATAAAACTAGAACAAAACAGTAAGAGCATGTTCCCAAAATGCAACCACTTAAAAATTCAAATATATAATTCCAAACACTTAATCAAAATTGAAATGAAAAACCCTTTAGAAATGGACAATGATATAACTCTATAATAAAGCTTATAATATTCAGCCAAAACAGATCTCAGAGAAAAAAATTATTATATACTTGATCCATTTGCAGAAAAAACAAGGAGCATTGAAAATATGCTGAATTTGAGCACTTAAGCTTAAAAAACTAGACAAATATAAGTTAAAAAGTAAAACGGGATTAAAGACAAAAGTATAAAATAATGAAATAAAAAAAGCAGATTTTTACCCCAGTGGCAACAACCTTACCTAGCACCCAGACTGTGGTTTCTAATACCACTGTCCAATAAAAGATACAAGGGCTCCTTGGAAAAATGGCTGAGATTCCAGGACTGGGGCAGAAAATATGTAAGATGAGCCTGGAGCATCTTGTAGTGCCAGACAGTAAGGAAGTTTTAAAAACAAAACAAAACCAAAAAACTCACACAAACCAGCCAAAAAGCCTACATTGATGGGCTGTGTCAAAAGGACACAGAAGCCAACCAAGAGTGTCCAATGGCCAAAGATGCACCAATGTGAGCAAGAAACTTAATACATACTGTATAACTCAAGTAAGTATCCAGGAGTCCATACTGAAATGAATGAGGGAGAGGAGACAATTTCCCATGCTTCAGAATTCCAAATAATTTATGTAGGCACCCTGCCCTCGAGGAGGTGGAGCGTAACTCCCCACTCTTACGTTTAGAACGTGCACAATGTGCAACATATAATCAAATAGTAACTTTCCATGGTCCTTAAATTATTCAAAGTGGGTAATTCCTAAATAAATTAAGAAAATATGTTCATTTTTCTGTATCTTCTTGGTAGCCACATCTTATTCTATGTTCTAGACAGTGCTGGCAATGAAGACACCATAGCAGTATTATTTATAGTAAACTTTATTTTCATTCATATTTCATTTAACATGATTTCAAAGTAGGTCTGAGCTCTAAGATGAGCAAAAGAAAAGATATCCTAAATCTCATAAGAGATTTTTTTCATACTGTTCTGGCATGAGGTTTCAGGGCCCCCAGTGTTGACACCTAAGATTCTACCCCTTGAGATTTTACTTATAGAAAGAAGACATAACATCAATATGTAAGAATCAAACTGTATGAGTGTATTATTAAGTTCCTCTGTTATGTATTTGCCACTTCTATAGGGCTGTAATGGTAATGACTGAATTTTTTTCTCCCCACCAAGTTCAGTATCTTTTTTTTTTTTAAGTAGAAGGTCACAGTATGGAGAAATGCTGCATTTTTTCTCTTAATACACTGAAAAGAGTGGAAGTTTAGAGATTTTCAGTTCTTCTTGAGTCCAAGGTAGGACATGACTACTACTGATGAGGTCTGTTCAACATACTAATTCCAACTTTGGCAACCATCAGCAAACTGTTTAAAAGAAACACAAATAAAAAATGTCAGGAAAAGGACAGAACGGGCAACTATTTTTTTTTAAGGGACTAGGACTCTGCAAGTCCCTCACCACTGCATTGAGAGGGAGGCTCCAAGGCACAGCAGTCAGAGATAAAGCTTGCATCCCTGGAGGAACCAAAGAAGAAACGTGCCAAGGGGTGGGCAGTCTTCCACTGAGGTGTTAAAATAGCACCTGTGAGCTGCAGTGCCTAATCCAACTGCTGGTAATTTGAAGAGATGAAGAAACTGCAGGCAAGAGAGATCAAGGCCTCCCCACCGTCACAGAGCTAATTAATGGCAGATCTCCAGCCTCCCAGTTTACTGCTTTTGACCTTGGTCTACACTGACTCTTTTGCTTCAAGTGTAAAACATTATGCTTGACAGCATCGTAACTATGATCAAGGTCAAGTACTTAACCTTTTACTCAGATTTTTAAAATTTCCCCTGCTTTCAGGATTCCTTTATTATACTTAAGGACAAACTTTTTCAAAAAACAATTTGGCTTAGGCTTTATAATCAGAGTTAATTAGAAAACAGGATTCCATCAAAATTCCCCTTTAGCAAAATTTCCAATAACAAAGGACACCCATACAACTAAGAAACACGGAACCCACCTGCAAGTGACACAAACAGCAGTCATGGCTTTAAACTAAAGCCTCTGCCACTGCAGGGAGGAGCCGGGATGGACCGGAGAGCAAATATGAGAACAAAGCCATTTCCCCAGTGAATGGATATATTTATGCCACTCTGACATTAAATCAGCTAATGTTTTTACAGCCCTTCCTATTTGTGTATAAATTATATAATGCTAATTGATGCATTTTAACCTAGTATCTCGTTTACTGGAACAAGCAAATTTTTGAATGTATAAAGTATCTTGGGCAATAAACTGAACTCTAGACTGGCCGAGAGTAATGGAAGGGAAAGTACCTGGCACCTGCGATTAAACCTGCAGGCATAAATTTTCCAGAGTGGTAGAATCTCATTCCCATAATGCCAGCCAAGGTTCCAGATGTAGCTGATGAAAAAGACAAAAGAGAAGGGTCAAAAATCATTATATCTTCTATGCAGGGAAACCAGAAGCAGGAAAAGTCCTACTATCTCTCCAGGCCCAGGCCACCTCCTATACTTATTCCTCCCTCTCCAGGTAGGGGGAGCTTCCTGGCTGCCCACGTCCTACCCGGTCGAAGTACAAAGACTGGCCAAATAAGGCCCTTCACAGCCTGGGCCCCACCTGCCCTCCCAGCCTCACCTCTCACCACTCTTCTACAACACCCACACTTCAGCCATCAATGTCTTAGTTTTCTCAGAAATGCCATTAGAGTTTTTCACACTTTGCAGATATGATTTCCTCTACCCCGTACACTCTTCCCACTGGATATCTATCAAAGCCCCTACTGTATGTCCGGCACTACACCAGGTGCCAGAGAATAAAAAGATGTTTTGGTCATCAGAAACAGCCTCTGCCTTTTTACGGTGTTTCAGGTCTGATGGGACAAATTTTAAAGAGTCACACAAAATTAAAACGAAGTATAATCTGTGCTATAGGTACAATTAATGCTACAGAAAAACACAGTAGGGGGATCAACCTATTCAGGAAATCATGCAGGCTTAGTCAAGGAAGAAGATTGGGCTGAGCTCTGGAATTACAGCAGGAGTTAATGAGCTGAAAGGGGAAAAGCCAGGCAGGCTCCAGGCAGAGGGAACAGTACCCGCGAGCCCCTCTGGTGAGAGGGAGCATGGCACATTCAAGGAAGTAAAAGGCCAGTGTGGCACAGAAGTCAAGATACGGTTAGTGAAGAAGAGGGGCCAGACCACAAAGGGCCTTGAAGGCCGTATCAGAGACTGAGTCTTCATCCTAAGAGCAATGAGAAGCTATTAAAGGGTATTAAGCAGAGATATATGTGAACAGAGTTGTGTTGTGAAAATATAATTCTAGCTGTACCATGGAGAACAAACTGCAGGGAACCTAGAGAGCGCTAGGGAAACCAATCAAGAAACTTCCTCAGGAAAGCAGACAAGAGAGGGATAACTGGGCCTAGGATGGTGGCTGTGGAGATGGAAAGAGGACAGCTCAGGATAGGTGCTGGGGGCAGTGCTGCCAGGACCTGCTGATGAACTGGAAAGGCTGAGGGAAGAAAGCGACCAAGCCCTGAGCGCGTGGAGAACGGAGGACGGGATGTGTGTGAGATCACGGCGTCAGGGCGAGGCAGATGCCCTGAGACACCTGAAAGATCTCAGGCGGGCAACTGCATACGTGAGAGTACAGCACGGAGGAGAGTTAACTCTGAGTCACGTGTGTGTTGGTGGAAATCAAAGGCGTGGGCTTCAATGACATCATCAAGTGAGAGAGCATAAAGACGAAATGAGCCAGGCCCAGAGAATTTCAGTATTTAACGGCCAGAAAGAAGAGTGAACAAAAGAGAATGAGAAGATAAAAGGAAAACCAGGAGAATGGAGAATGACTGGTCATCTGTGCGGAGGACAGCTAACGGGCCAAGTGAAACGAGGACTGAGAAATGTACACTGGATTTTGCACAGCCCAGGCCACTGGCATCCTCCAGCGGAGCGACTTCCAGACACGGACACGGCGCCACATGTGAGAGGAGAGGAAGACAGAGACGGAGCACAAATGGTTTTTAAGAGAAGTTTCTCAAGGGGAAGGAAATGGCAAGCAACTGAAGAAGGAAGTGGGGGCACAAGAGGTCCTTTTTTTAAAAAAAATGGTTGAGAGATGAGGGCATCTGAAAGTCAACGGGAGGGATCAACCTAAGGGGGACACAAGTAAGAGACGGTCCTTGCTGGTGGAAAGCACCGGAGAAGGGGGAGAGGAGACCCAAGCCCAGATGGAGGCACTAGCCTTGCTGGGGAGAAGCAAGCCAAGGGAAGGCTTGCAGACTGCTGGCTCCAGAGAGTCCCTGATGGCTGCATGAGGTCACTTGCTGAGAGTGGGGAGCAGGACCAGAGATGGGCAAAGTGGGCTGACAGCCACTCCACAGCATGAGGAAGGAGCCACCAGGCAGAGCTGGGACCCACCCTCCCTCTGTGCCCACACCTCCCATCAGCCACGCTGACCTCACCTGCCAGCCCCGAGTATGGACCACCTGTTAGCACGCTGCTGCTCCCTCCACACCGCCTTCATTCTCACCTGTGGGCTTGTGGAGGCAGTGAGAACCCACACCCCTAGCAGTATCTGACACGTGGGGGGAGCCCAAGAAAATGTGCCAGAAGCCACCCTGATGAGAAAGGGTCTTCCCTTCCCCGCATCCCCCACTGTCGCTGCTGCTTTTCCAGTCCCACAAAGTCCCACTTTGTGTCCCTGTCTTACTTCCCAATAAAGCTGAAAGTGCCTTGAAGGCGTGGCCCCGTCTTACACATTTAGCTGACTGCTAACGAGGTAAGTGATGTTCAAACGGGAAAAACGCAATACCAACGCGAACTTAACCCAGACACGTGGTATTTTAGAAATGCTGAAGCTGACAGTCTTCACCGGGCAACCTCGAAGCCTAATCCTACTGGGTAAATGAATTCATCAGGTACGAGAACTCTCTATGCTACGTACATAAAAGGGAAACAGAAACAGCACAATCCCTCCCCGCCCCCCATTTTAAAACTTCCTAGGACTTGGCAGAAGCAGTAAAACTGTCATTAAGTATGAAGAACCTGACACATCCCACCAAACCAGGGCCTTCTGGTAAGGGGCAAGCTGGATACTTAGCAGCCCTAAGGAGACAGCAGCAGACGTACCTAGGAAAACCCAAACGTTCCTCGGATCCTGAGACAGCTGATAAGCACCCAGGCCTGCTAAACCCCCGAAGAGGAGCCCCGCGGCCAGGGACGGCACACTACCTAGAGGGAACAAACACATGCCCGCGTTATAATGTCAGACACTGATTTCATTAACAGAATCCACCAGACTCCCCTTCTCTACAGAGGAAAACAGCAGAGAGAACTCCTCTCCACACAGCTCATAACCAAGGTGTAATCAAGCAGGAAAATGTTTTAGGGAGTTTCTATCTTAAAAGAGAAGTCAGGGTCTTCCCACCCCATCTCTCTAACAGGCAGGGACTGCCATCTAAGGAAAGATGGAGACCTCTCCTTAGACGGCACTGTGGCGAGGTCTTCCTTCTAACCAGGCAAGGGCTGGAATTGTGTACAGGCAAGACCTGAAGCAAATCACAAAAGAACAGGGAAATAGGGTCAGTTAAAAAAAATATTTGGAGAATAAGAATTCTGGTGTGTGTTGGGGTGGTGATGCAGGCAAGCGCGGGTGGAGGGTGGGGGTACAAACAAGCACATTCACTGACACAGCCCCACCTAGTCTAACGAGGAGACTTCTGAACGTGAGTGGGTGAAGACCAGAGAGAGGCTTCCTCTACTCAAAGCGCCTAGAGATGGTACTTTGGGGTCGTGGCCAATGCATGGCAGTTCATGATAATAACAATCTACAGCCACCCCTGCCTATCTTTAGATAAAGAGGCAAACAAGCGATTCGACAAGTCTGGCTCAGCTCAGCCAGATAACCAAAGGGCAAGTGCAGGAGCTGCGAAACTGACAGTGAAGCCTGCACTCGAGCTCAGGGGCCTAAAGCAAATGTGCTCAAACAAGACTGGTGTTCAGGGACCCTCGCGCTCCACTGAAACAACATGAAGAAGGTTAAGAGGCTAAGTAACTTCAAAACCGTACCTGCTTTTGCATAGCCAATGATTCCACCAGAAGCAACCAGTGCTGCATAGCCAAAGCCAAACCAATGCAAAGGCACTCTGAAAACACAAGAGTGAGAAGTCAGTGCCAATCATGGTTTGGAAACAGACCACGTAATTATAGGATGGGATTAAAAGGTCATCATTCCAGACATAGCCTATCACTGTACAAATGCAAATAAAGCCTACAGAGGTTGGATGACTTGAAGAGGGTCACACAACCAGTCAGTGGCAGAGCTGGGACTCAAGTCCAGTTCCCTGGACCACATGTTCAGGGATCTTTCACCCTCCTCCCGGCCCCAGGCAGCCTACTCTTAGGGCTCTTTTCAGCTGAGGAAAAGAACGCCTGTTTCGAGAAGCTCCTGGCTATTCCATTCCCATTTACTGTGCACTTACAGAGGGCCGGTGTCCTTCTGCATTGTTCTCTTCTCACTGTGTCCAGACAGGAGACTACACCAGGCCTGCACCTGCAGGGTGGGCTGGATCAGAGCTGGTTCAAAGCACAGCTCTCCAGCAGTCAGAAAGAAGTGGGTCCAAGTTCCAGCTGTCGCCCTCAGCAGGTAAGAAGGAAAGGGCAAGCTACTCAACCTCTCTAAGCCTCAGTGTCCCTCACTGTATCATGAAGATAACAATGGTACCAATGTTCTGGGCTGTTGTGAGCAGTCAGTGGGGGTAATATGTATAAGTGCTTGGCACACTGTAAATACTGAACAGATACCATTTTTATAACAACCTCAATTTCAATAACACAGACCCAAAGGAAACTAAGCAAGATCCACTGACCAGCTCCATACAGGTAATGCGTTAACCATTTCATCAGTTACCCAAGTTATTATCAATTGGAAAGCAAATACTCCTGTACCCTTAATTCAACTATTTTAACGTCCCTTTTGAGGGGAGGAGTGGTGCTGCTTTTCGCCCCTGCCCCAAGAATCAAATTATTTCAATACCCAACGTTTGTAAAACTTTTAGAAACTTCTGCATCCAACTCGCAGTTCTTGTTAGACTGCGGAGGGGGAGTGAGGAGGAAGAAATACACAGAAATCCGAGACATCGTTACATGTGACATTGCACCCCTGCAAAAGCAACTCCTATTTTCTCGAAGAAAAGTAGCTTGTATGCAGTGAACCCAACAAGATGGAAAGCAATACATGCCACTTTTGTTCTGTTCAAACACTTAAGTTTCCATGAAATGGGGACTGGGGGAGAGTCTTGGGATCGTGCCCAGAGTCATGAATTGAAAGAGGCATTGAGTGCCGAGACTTAAAGAAGAGCAGCAAAATCTCCAGAAAACTAATCAATAATACGCAACGTCCGTAAGCACTTGCCTCAAGGGCTCAGGGGTTCCCCAGGATTCACGACCTATCTAAATGAAAGCAGAAAACGCGCGACGAGTAAAGCACCTACAGCGCGGTCTAAAGCTCCCGCCTGGGTCGGGGGGGGCGAAAAGCAGCGCCAGTGAAGCCTCCTAAATAATTCCTAAAAGTCGAAACTGTTAGAAAATAATAATAAATCCCAAGTACCCGAACTGTGCTCCCAAAGGTCTGCGAAGGCCGCCAAGGGCACGCGAGCGGCCGAGCGAAGAAGCGCGGCCTCACCGGAAACAGCGCGGCGCGCCCTGCGTCCCGGGGCGGGGCTTCGGACGACGAGTCATAGCGCGCGCCCGGCGCCCAGGGGCGGGGCATCGCGGCTCGCGTCCCGTACCCGGGAGCGGGGCGGAGCTTTGGGCGTGGAATGCTGAGCCTCCCCCAGAGTCCCCGGCCCGGCCAGGCGCGGGCAGGGCCGACCAGCGCCAGTCCCAGTTCAAAGCCCGCGTGGCCAAAAGCCGGAAAACCAGAGTTGGAATCAGGTCTTGCTCAAGGCCGGTGAGCTGCGCCAGGCCGGAGGTGGAGGCTACGATGCGGGAGGAGGGCATCTGAAACTGGATTCTGAAAGACCCCATCAATAGAGGGACAGGTTACTGGGTGTAAACCAGATGCGGGCCATCCGGGAGAATTGTCACTCTAGTTGTTACAGGAAGGACTACTTTCTACCCTGCAGAGAATGTGGTGGCCGCAGAGCATCTTAAAGGGGACGAGAGATCAAAATAATTTCCACCAACCTCCCTGGATCATGAGTGTCCACAGCATGACATCAACTCCGTTCCCACTACAGAGCTGCTTCTCTTCCGTATTTCCTGAACCACCATTCAACTCAGTTGCTCTACACTAAAATTTGGTGTTATTCTCATCCCCTCTCCTCCATCCCCAACTTCTACAAGGGTCAACATGAATAAATCTCATAGTCTTCAGTGAATAAAGCAAATTGCAGGGCATACATATTCTAAAAGAGAAACTTGCCACTTGCAGTAGCACTTACCTTCCAGGTAGCAAAACTGAAGCCTGTGCTTATAACCCGCCAAAGCTGATAATGACTAAGAACTCGGGGCAATTCCAGTATGCTGGACCCTCACCAATTAAATGGAAGATTTTCCTGAACGATGAACAAGGGGACTTGTGTTACGCAGCGGGGAACGGATTTAGGGACTCATTCCTTCCTATGCAGGTGCAAGCTCAAACCTTAGTTATATCCACCATGATGTTCCACCTCCCCTTTCTACTTGAAGAAACGGAACCTCAGAAAACTAAATTACCTGCAGTCTCTGTCACTGGTAGAGCTACTATTTGAAGTAAGACCAAACTTCAAAGCCTCCCGCCACCATTAATTCTACAGTACTGCCTCTTGTAGTGTCATTCCTCAACCAAAACATAACTCTTCTGTGCATGTACAGTCCACCGGAACATGTCATAAAATAAATTGGTTTCCGCTCTACTTCAGTTAGTCCTAGAGTAAATCAAGTATTGATCTGTTTCTAGTTTGCATTAACATCTTTAGGAGATAACTCAGCTATTAACTTAGGAGCTCACTGAATTACTGGAACCCTGAACCACAAAAGTGTCAAAGGGATGTGACCAAGATTATGTGAGGGAATGTTAAGTTTTTAGCCTTTGGTCACTGGAGCCTAATAATAGTTTTGGATTTTTTTCCCCACAAAAAAGCCTTGAGTCACAATTGTGTCTGCTGTGTACACACACGCGCACGCAGAGCGGAGATCATCTGCCACAATAGAAGAGCTCATAAAGAAAGGAACTGCACTTCAATTTAAGCAGTATTTTATCATTTTTGGAGACTCGAATGTGTTGACTTTACACATCAACAAGCCCCTGAACAAAAACATCAAAAACAAATCCCAAGTCGCAGTGTTTCAATGTAATCCGTGTCCACCAAATATCCACCATACCGATTCCTACATCTTTGGGACTATTTTAGAGCTTTGCTTGAAAAGCAAAATCATCCATTCAATAAGCCTTTCTCCAAGAAATAAATGAAATTATGAAAACAATCATCTATTTTCTCAACCTACCTTACCTATGCCACATGCTTCTAGACCTCATATATTGGAGCCATATTAGCGAAAGTATATGCAGTGGCATGTTTATGTCAGACACTGTTGGAAGTGCTTTACATGTATTAACTCATTTAATCTTCACGCCAACCCCATGCAGTAAAGACGATGTTTATCTCTTACTTTTACACATGGAGGAAACTAAGGCAGAGAGTAAATGGCAGAGCTGCCCTAACTCTTTTAGTCTGTTCTCAAGACAGTAACCAGAGCACTCCTGTTATAAGTCTGATAAAACTATTCCTCTGCTCAGAACACTTTGGCGGCTCCCTTATCTCATGCAATGTCCTGCTGCACAACCACCTCCCTGACCTCAGAATCTTCTTCTCCCCCTTGCTGGTACTGCTCCAGCCTCCTTGCTCCCATGCCAGAGCATTTGAAGAGCCACTTCATCTGCTCTCTCCCCAGGTAACTTCCTGGCTCAATCCCTCATCTCCTTTAAGTCCTTACTCAAATGTCACTTCTCAGTGAGGCCTTCCCTGATCATCTTATTTAAAACTGCAACTCATGTGCATTCCCCTCCTAACACGCTCTGTAACTCACTCACTCACAGCATCTACCCCCCCACTCCAGCATGTCAGCTCCACGAGAGATAGGACATTTACGTAGCACTTAGCACAGTGCCTGGCACATAATGGGTGCTCAGTAAACATGCGTTGAGTGGACGAGTAGATGTGAAGGGAGACGGGTGGTCTGCAGAGAGAAGAACGAAGACAACATGTAGAGTGTCAGTGACAAAAGGGAGATTGTCCTGGCTGCATCTTGTCTCTGGCTCTTCCTGCCCTGGCCTTGGACACCCCTGCGTCCTTGTCATATATCTACCCCAGTGACCTCTGTTAAAGTCTCGGATAACCAGAGTTGCTTTTGGTTCTTGTAGGTTAGTCTTTTTTAGCTGAAAGCATCATGTACCCTCAGCCCTAAATGCCCTTTTTATCCTTGTCCAAAAGCTCAATGTCATCTTTTATTAGAGTCATTAGAGAGGCTGCCTCTGACTACCCAGATCATTGCATTTAATACATTAATGTATTTACCAAAGCTTTTGTCCTTTGGGAAGGGATCGTGCTTTTCCTCTCAGCCCCCAGAGTCTAAGATGGTGTCTGGCTGTGGACTAAATGCTGAAGGGGATGAGAAGGATGTGGCATATGGGGCATTTTCAGTATCAGGAAGGAGTGAACATGTGATCAAAATCTGCTTCTATGGAAATAGTAAACTATAGTTCAACACATGTGGTTGAGACTAGATGCAAACTACACATTCCTACGAGGAAAAGGGAAACAAAATCAACTCGACCCCAAATGAATTCTGTATTTTGACATGAACTGTTGTCATGTCAGAAATACAATGGCCCGAGGCACACTACCAGGAAAGCTCTCTAAGAGGTCACTGAGCAGAAGGGCTCACAGACCACATTAAGATGCCTGAATTGCAGTGTATTACATCAATTTGAAAAAGGCAGGGGAAAGACATGGGATGCGTAAACACTGTTAAGGGGGGTACAAGCCTGGTGGAAGAAGCCTATTAGCTAAATCCTGCGCCCCTCTCTGCAACATCCGCCTTCCTGCTCACGTGGTGCCGCGAAGACCAGAGGTTTGAGTAAGGGCACCCGCAGAGACAAGGTGTCCCGAACCAATGACACGCACTTGTTCTATCAAAGAGATGGAGGCACAAGTAAACCTGGCAAGAAGTTGCGCTTTGTCTGTTGGCCTATGGAGCAGCCATGGTTTTTATTATGTTTCTCGGCAACAGGGCACTTGAGGACAGAAATGAGTGGCCTAATTAAGGCCTCATGACTATTTTGTGCTCATGTATATTTTATGCACTGTGAATATTTAGTATTTTGTATATTTAATGTACCACAGTTTGTGTTCTCATGTCTCACATATATTTAGTGCCTACGAATGTTGGGTATGTTGGACCTCTCTATTCCCTTCTATCTATGTTTAACATAAGTTCTATTTACTAACTACTTATCTTAACCCATCTTATGAATTCTACATTTTTAAAACTTGTTTACTACTTATTTATACTTAACACATACTAAAAGCTTTCCCCTGTATTATACAAACATATTAATCTTCTTTAATAGAATTGAATAGTCTCAAAAGCAAATGTATAGTCCAACTTTTATTTTTAAGCACCACACAAAAAACCATGTTGCCTTTGTTGAAGCCTAAGTGAGATGGTGCAATCTGAGCCCCTTAATTATAGCATCAAACATTCTTATTCAGGAGCAAAAGTAAACACATTTAGTTAGAATGGGGAAACAAATACATTAAGAATCTAGGTTCTGCACATGCTGAAGGCTTGTGAGGTGGAAGGGGATGAACTGGATGAACTGTCATTAGACACGAACCCTGGAGGGCAACCTGGTCTTGCCCTCATGCTACTACTGTAAAAAGAGGTTTCACAGACAAACTATGTACCACACAGCTAGAAGAGTGAGGAATGGCAATGGGGCTCCCTTGGTAAAGAAATGTTAAAAAAGAACTTAAATAATTTATAGATGTTTAAATAGTTTATAGATGTTTATAGTATAAACTCAAATAGTTTATACTGCATTAAAAACGTGCTGGGGAGAAAATATTTGCAAATTATATATCTGATAGGGGTTTAATATCCAGAAGATATAAAGGACTCCTACAACTCAACAACAAAAAGACAAACAACCCAGGTAAAACATGGGCAAAGGACCTAGACATTTCCCAAAAAAAGATATACAAATGGCCAAATAAGCACATGAAAACATGTTTATCA